CACGATGCCAGCTAGGGCCGTAGCTTGTGGGGGGGGGGGGTGGAGGGAGCAGCTGCCCCCTAGATGTTGGAGGTAAATTAAAAAAATGCTCAACTAATAACAGAGTTGAGAACAGCAAGAAGGGAAAAAAGAGGAAAAGATAACGAAGGACAAGTACGAGGCGGCGTAGCCGCCAAGTGGGGAGGGTACGGGAGTGGTGCTCCGCCAAGGGGGGTCTCCCTGGAAAATTCCCCCAGAATTTTTTTGAGAAAAATGGACTCTGTAACGGCATCTTTAGGCCATGTGGAGATACATTCTAGCTCAATTTAGGTATTTGCAAAAGCCATACTACATAACAATATTATTTTAACAACATATTTGAGGCCTAATTCCCCATGACCTTTTGTTGCTAATCTAGCAACTGTACATAATGGCTAATAATATACATTAAACTGGTAGAAAACAAGTATAACATTTCTTTCAAGCATGAATAATAAAAATATAAAATTGTCATGCGATATAAAAATTTACCCAAACAATGTTAAAAGTTCACAGGCAGTACACTAATGTTGACCTGTCTAGCAGTTTAACAAATTAAACATACAACTGGCAGAATTGGTTGGTGCTGAAGTAATAACTAATATTAATTATATTATATTGGATTGATTGGAATAGCCATTTGAAACAGAAATAGTCATCACCGCCAGAATTTTTTTTTTCCTTTTCCTTTTTTTCCCACCGGATTTGCACGATTCACGCGGCTGTCAAATCGGCAGAATTCCGCCGATCGGCGGAAAATTCTCATCCCTGAATAATCGTAATAACCCTAACGTGATTTTTTTGGTCACATATCCGTGAAAGCCTTATCTCAGACCCCTACCCCACTATGGACGTCGATCAAGAGCTGCGCCCGTCGCTCATCATTACACAGCCGAGTCATGAAATTTTGCCCCTCCCCCTAGGAATTGGCTCAGCCCACGGCCCTGGATGTGTATTCGCAGTACACGATATATATGCATACACGAGTTCGGTGGATGATTCTTTATCATGATGACAAACTTCCATATCATT